GAAAGCTTCCTTTTTTTTTTACCTTGGATAAGTAACATCGCATTTCGAGACGAATAATCTGGCAAATTTTTTAAAGAGGAAATATTTTTTTAAAAGAGGAAACCGAATGGAAAATTCGCTTCAGAGAGATCACGGTTCTTGTCGTCGTAGAATGTAAATGTTAAATCAATATAGTCGCTGTAATCGATTCTGTTCCAATTCTCGAGATAATTCATTTCGCAGCAAGAGGATGTTGCTGAATTATTTGGTATCTTTCGTCGATCAGTCGCTTCCTACTGTACAGAATTTGTTCAAAGTAAGATTCTGAATAAAGGTTTTTCCAATATGTCGCTTGAAGTGATTCCTGTCCCTTGTCATAGCTAATGAATTTTATTTTGATTTTATTTCTATTTTATTTAATACTTCCTGTAGTATGTGATTTCATTCTACTTTTATGCCACACATGTGTGATGTGCAAAGAAGAAATGAATAAACTGTAAAAATATTTTTTTAGAATATTACGATACTGGTATGTTGTATCCTTCTGTAAAATACGTTTTGTACAGCAATTTTACGGTAAATGATTGAATTTTTGATAAACAATTGCATTTCTTCATTTTTCCTGAGGTCGAAGTAATTCCCTTGATTCCTGTGGTGGCCCGAAAGTTCAATCCGTAATTCGCACAAATGCAACATTAATTTTTCGATTTTCGATTAAAGTTATAAACAATTTCTAACTCATCTTCTGCATGCTATTGTTATTTCAATGCGAAATTAATTAATTAAGCTGTTTTATTAAAGTAAAGCATACAACAATTTTATTTAATAAGTTAAATGGTTACAAACTTTCATCTGAATTGTTATTTAATAAGAAATACTGATTGTTCTACAATTAAAGTACTTGAAAATAAAATAGAAACTTTATTTTACTGTGTAAACTATAAGTAATGTTAAAGGTGTTAAAAATTAATTGTAAATATTGATTTTAATGTTGCAACCGTATGCAATTGTTAATTCAATGCGAAATTAATAAATTAAGCTGCTTTGCTACATTCTCGACGCTATTTTCTCGCAATTTTTGAAGTTTTTCGCTTGATTCTTGGAGTTTGCCCGGACTTGGCGAATTTTGGGATGTTTGAAAAGTGGTTGACTTGCACTACTTGCCAATTCCGAAACATTTCGAACTTCTGAGAAGTGGTTGATTCCTCATTGACTCACAATCAGAGAAAATTTGGGAAATTTTCGGGTAAAATAGCGACTTTGTATTAGGCCTAATATGAAGTGATAGGAAGTCAACGCTTCTTAAAAATGACGTCTACGATTTTAATTCGCAACAACTAATCTACATTCTCGACGCTATTTTCGCACAATTTTCGAAGCTTTTCTCTCGGACTTCGGGATTTTTGCGTATTCCTAACGCTATACGTTGTATATTTTTCCCGATCATGAAGTCCTTTCCTTGATTCCTGTGCTGGCCTTAAAATTCCATTGCTAATTCACGCGAAAAGAACATTGCTGCACGCAATTGTTCATTCAATTATCACAACAAATTTCTTATAATTCCAATAATTATAAACTATCGTCTAAATTGTTATTTAACGAGGAACACTAATTATTCTGTAATTAAAGTCGTTGAAAGCACACCAGAAACTTTATTTTACTATCCACATTACTGGTAATGTTGAAGCAATTAAAAGTTTATTATAAGTATTAATTTTAAACTGCTTACTACATGCAATTATGGTCTATTTTGCAATAACTAGTATTGAAAGCGAAAAATTCGAAGAATCCCAACTTTGAAAATCACGTAGAGCAACTTCGTGAGCGGGTTTGCTCCACTGCTTCCGTACAACTCGTGCTGCCCACATTCTACTTACCGCTCGTCGCGTGTTACCAGAAGTGGCGGCGGAGTTTCCAATTTTCCAGCAGAATACTGCGGCTTTGTTTAGCTCACGTCTACCCGGCATTGTGACTAACTCAATAGAGCAAATTGAAAGCAAAACTTTCGACGAACACGGCGTAAACTGAATACGTGATGAAAATAGAACGAGTCGGTGGAAAATTGGATTTAAAGTTTGCTCGAAGTTTCTGTTTTTACCCTTACAAGTTGAATGAAATTGTCCTCCTTGTTATCAGAAACTTCGAAAGTATAATGGTCAATTGAGCAAGAATACTGAAGAATACAATCGAAAATGAATTCTTCGATAAAGTGAAAAAGTAAGTTTCCAAAGTAAATTCCTCTTCTTGCCTAACAGAAACTTGGAAAGTACAATTTTCAACTGAACAAGAAAATCGATGAAAAATATTGTAGAGTATAATAAAGAACAAGTGCTTCGATAAACTGAAAAATTGAATTCAAACTTTAACCCCGATTTTCTTCCTTATCTTTCAAAATTAAATTCCTCGGGAAATATAAGCTTAGAAAGTAAAAAAAAAAAGAAAAACGTGAAAAATACGGTTGTTAATTAAACGAAGCCAGAATAAAAGCAGCACAAAGTACCAAATGAAAAATTCACTTTTCTATGAATGCCAATTCTTCGAAAGGGAGGAAGATAGAAAAATCACAAAGGCAATGATTCACATCGGCGAAGAAGCCGTTTATTATTTTACAGTCGCGTGATTCCACTCGACTCCGACGAGTCCCCGGCGTGTCCCAGTCTGAAGAAGTATACTTTGAAAGTTTTACAACAAGTGTTCCCTCTTCGAAGTCTCACATCTAAGGTGCTAAGATATCTACAGTGATATAATTCTTCTTACACGGCTATACACGCATTCAGCCGGGGTTTCCCCACATATTGTTCTTCTCTCCTATATTTTTTCTTCTCTTTTTAATCTTTCCGATTTCGGATGACGTCGACGAAACAATTTGCCACCTTTTCCTTTTTGGTCGACCCGTCAGTTTTCTTCTCCGTTTCTCCCTTTATACGCAACTTATGTACACGAAATTCCCTTTATTGCTACTTTACAAGATCTCCGTCTGATTGGACGCGCAGAACGTTTTGCACGAGTGTGTATCGTTCCCTCGCTCGTCTGCCTTTATACGTTTCTCTGTGTATATGTCCTCTGTGCTGTCTGTGTATACGTGTGTATATGTACGGAGATGTGTGAGCGTGTGGATCGTATCAAGCGCGGATATCAACTGGAAGTACGCGATCAGTGGAAAAAGTTTGAGATTTAATATCGTTTCGATCCAATCTCTCCTCAATTCTTTTCTTTCTTTTGTGCGATTCTGAAACCCTAACGAAGGAAAGAGTTGTTCTTTATATGAAAAAGGACTTGCTAGACTTTACGTGCTCTTTTTGTGGTGAAAATTTACTTTCATTCTATGCTCGACTCTCGTAACAACCAAGAAATTGAGAAAAGAGAAATTCGCGTGTATTAAAATGTCTAAAAAAACGAGTATATCGTCGAGAAAAATTGTTAAAAAAGATTGGTCTGGGCTTTCCTTCGGAAGAGTTTTCGACTCTCCGTTTTCTTTTTTCTTCTTCTAACCAGTCTGACCACTCTGATCGCGCTTAGGCCGTGCTTTCTCGTTTCTTTTCTTTCTCTCTCTCTCTCTCTCTCTCTCTCTCTCTCGCATACTTTTCGTTCCATTAATCCTTTCGTGCTGTATGAAATTATATCGTAAAGAGACTGTTACACGAAACGACAAAATTTCACTGGTACGTTTGAAATTTAAATCAGTAGTAACTCCGTTAAAAATCGCAATGCATGTATAAAATTGTTCTATTTTCGTTTTACACTCGGTATGTTTAAACTGGAACTTTAAACTACATTGAATTAGCATAATCGCTGACGAAAGGATTAAAATCGCAGCCTCGATTCTTGCTATCATTAAACGTGTGCGTTTTACGTACTCGAGTCATCTTGGTCTGTTTAAACTCGGCGACTCAAACTGTAGAAAAATAAATTATTATATCGTGGTGATCATCGAGTGTGTTTCGAGTATAGTCTTTGTTCGCGTGGAATTTTCGTCCTATGGACGAGGATCGTTTCACGAAGTCCGGTTTTCACGATTACAATTAAACGAATCTTGAGCACAAAATAAGACGAACTTGAAAGTATGATACCTTTCACACACCCTGACTAGAAAAACGAATAAGCTTGCTGCCTTATTTTGATCTCAGATGTCGTTTAATAGCGAGTAATTGCCGGGGACTTGATGAAAAATGTACGTTCAGAAATGAATCGGATCTAAGTTCCTAAGAAACCTCCTCGATCTTCCTGGATCTCTCTAATGTAAATCGACGACTCAGAAAAATAGAGTTGAATCGAAACTATAGAGACACTTTTCTTGCCATATATTCTATTTAAAGTAGACAGTGAATTCCTGGTTTGCCATTTCTTAAACAATTCTTTCTCCTCTTCAAATGTTTCATTTCTTCCTTCTCCCTTTTCATTTTTCCTCGTCCTTCTAGTACACATACGTACATATATATTCGTTGAGTTTTTCCGAGTTTCGACAAACCTATTGTACACACAATTTCGATGTTTTTGTCGGGAAATTTTATCGTGCTTCTTTTCATTAGAATTCTATGAGAACGATGCTTCGGACGCATTAACAGCGAGACGAAGTATACTTCTTTTTTTTTCTTCGAGAAGTTTCTACTACGAGATACTTTTTTTTTTTACAATACACAATTCCTTTACTTTCATTTTCGATATAGCGTTACCTATACACCGACACAACTGCGTAATTCATTGTACAGCAATTGTATATCTGCAATTCCAATTGTTATACAATTAATTACACACTCGTAACACCTGCTGCTGCGTCTCTCTCTCTTACGCAACTACGACGACGGGACGATTCAATTTTCTCAACAATTACGTTCTCATGGAATCGCAGGGAAATTTAATCGATTCGGTTAATTTGAACGATTACGGAATTGTTACGACTATTGAATCACAAAATCGTCGAGAAAAGCGAGTGAAAAAAAGTTCCACTTTTCACCGAGGGATCGAAACCGGGTCACTTTTGGTGGCAAGCCAGAGCGTTACGCGCTTGACCACCGAGACCCCTGTGGTACAGCTTCGTTCTTTTCGAGTTTTAACGCACGCGAGACCATTTATAGAAGATTCGTCTGACATCGAGTTACAACAATTCCGATTGAGATCGTAAGAAAGCACATAGTCGACGGTGTCGTGATGATCGAGAGAACGTATTAAATAAGAAGAGTAACGAGGATTGTTTTCCACGAGCCACGGTTTAGGAAAAAGACCTACCACTAATTAGCCGTCGTTTAACGAATTGGCGCCGAGAGCGTGGTAACGTCGCGGGATCTAGAAAAATAGAATGACGATCATGGCGAGAAACCATATTTACCACAACGATTACGAGCTAGACACTTTCTTAAGTTACAATATCGACGCTAGGAGTGACGAGAGTCGATCGATTAGATTCGACTTTTTCATTTCATTTTCTTATCCTAGATATGCACGATTCGACTGGATTCTTTCGATCAATTTCACGGGATTTATTTCCATTGATAATTCTAATATTATGCAACGTTATGCAACAGTACTGTGCAATCGTTTAGCGAGATTTATTTCCTCCTGAAGTATTCTAATATGATATTCGTGGTAAGAAAGTTTGGACTCGAATTTTTACGTTCTTTGGATCGATACCTCTCGAAACCAGCCTACTATCAACATTTCCTATTTATTTATTTTTTTTTTTTGTTCTTTTTTACATAGTCCACAGTTCTACGTAAAATACGACTCTTTCGACGGCCTAGCACTAGCTAAGACAATTTCTTACGATATTTCACAGGCCACGACTAGTACACCGATGTTGTAAACGTCACTTTCATTCATCTATTTCTTTGGAAATGAGCACGTGAACGAAGTATCTCGAGTGTCGTCCTAAACCTACTTGTATTCTTCGATTTGTACCCTGTTCTTCAGCTCCGACGAACGATATCAGCGGTAGACAACGGTTGTCATGAGTGGTAAGAATTTTTCGCAACTGACTGATCATCTTCGAACACGTTTCCAATCATTCGAACAACAACCTCGACAACTTGTAAAACACAAAAATCATAGATCTTGTATAAAAATTCGTCAAAGGAACATTCTACCCGTGACAGAAGGAGGAAAAATTCTGACAACGAGAAAAGGAAAATCTACGAAATGTGATATAGAAATCAATCGAATCAGCCCAAAATTCACGATTTTTCTTCTCACTTCAACGATTCTCGATTCTCTTCTGTGTCTTCTTCTCCGATCTTCGACAAGAAATTCTTCGATTTTTCATTTTCTCCGTCATGCTTTCACAAGTCTCCTCTGTTTCTTCCCGCCTTTAGACACGAGGATTCGATTATCAAGGCCTCGTGTAGCAATTCATTTATTTCGTTCTTCATTCGTTCTCGAACAGCCTCTTGGAGGATTTTTATCGAGAGAGAGAAACCTTGCCTGGCGACGACAAGTCCCTTCGTGAACGAGGAACAGTTTCCGCGTGTTCAAGATTGTTTTAGAGCCTTCGAGTATTAGCCTACTGGTAGATGATCGGATAGGTGGGTTCGACGGGCAGATCGCTGTCCAGGTTTAAGGACACGCCATACTTGGACACCAGGTAGTGGGTGAGCAGCTCACCCTTGCCTTTCACGAACACCAGGCCACGTTCCTCGAAGCCAAATCCAAATGGCTCGAGGATCTTCCTGGTCTCATCTGTGACCTACAATTTAAAAATGATTTCTGGCATAAGGTAATATTTTTGGTCGGTGTAAAGGTAACTTGTTGGATTCGTAAAGCTAAAAACTAAGTAAAATAGAATATTTCTAATTTGTGCCATTTCTATACGAATTTTTAAAGCTCTATAGAACTCTCAATGCTTAGTATTAGTCGTCAATTTCGAAATGGCTATATAATCGTAGGGAACACTGTGATCTCTATTACATTGTACGAACTTGTGTGGAATACTGTGGAATTCGTCTTAACAAACACTAAAACTGAATAAGCATGTATATATTCAATTTAGAAAAATTAATTCAACCTTGAAATTTCTACCTGTTTACACCATATAATGCACCCTTCTATACCGAACAACTTTCATGATAAAATTTTTTTCATATTTTCAACGGTTTGCAAGATATTCCTGCACGTACAGTGAAAAGAAACATTATGTATAGTTGGTGTAAGGAAACATGATCCTCAGATAAAGTTCCTTCTGATTTTCATTTATTTAGATTAATACAGTGCTTTTTCGGAGAACTGGTCGATAATTTTGTCGATTCAATATTCGATTCATTATTTAAGAGGTGGCAAAAAGGTAATAGATGGTAATGGAGAATATTTTGCTTGATATTAAGTGTACGAATTGTCAACCAGCTCTGATTTATATCTAGATGTAGAAATTTTCAAAAATTGCTTTCCTATCGTTACCTGGATGCAGCCTACTTTCCCAGTGCTCTCCATCCTAGAGGCCACATTCACAGTGTTCCCCCAGATGTCGTAATGAGGTTTCCTGGCCCCGATTACTCCGGCAGTTACGGGACCGTGATTGATGCCCATTTTCAGGACGAAGTGATTGAAGCTCTGCTCGTTGATGCTCGACAACGCTTTCTTCAACTCCAGAGCGAATTCAACGAGGGTGGATAGATGGCCCCATCGTGGAGCATGCTCAGATTCTGCTGACTCTGTGATTCCAGACGCTGCCATGTACGTCGAACCTATTGTCTTGATCTTGATGATGTCCTTGAACTTGTTCTGATCGAGGATCTGATTGGAAGACACGAAACATTGAACTTGGGTCAAGTGTCTGATCAATAAAAATCAAATTTGTTGGTTCGTTTTCTAAATCTAAGGAATTATAGTGGAGAAGTGTGATTCTTTTGCAATGTACTTTGGAATTTTTATAGTGAAACTTTACGAAAATGATGGAACTGTGGCATTTCAAGGAATTCATTTTCGAACGTATGATATATTGAACTGGAAAATTTGAAAGCGTTACTCTTGATACAGTTTCATAGAAAATAGCAAAGAGGGAATGTACCTACTCTTCTGTGAAGAGGAAAAGGGGAAAAAGTTCAATTATCATCTGTAAAAGTGTATCCAAGTCGATGGACATAATTTTGAGCATTTAAGAAAAAGTTTTCTCCACTAATCTTTTCGTCGTAGCTATTTAATTATTTCTGAATTTTTTATAAGACATAAAACTGTGTAGACCCATTTAAAAAATGTTCATCACCTTGCAGACCCATTTAAAAAGGGAGCGGTTTATTTCGAAACTGGTGCAAGTCCAGTTTTTGTTTTGACTAGATTGTTACAGATTGTTTACAGATAAAAGGATCGTATTAAGTTTTATCCCTTGTTATCGTTAACTTCATTTCCTTCAAACAAGCACTTGCCCCAGTTTCAAAATAAACAGCTCAAATATTGGTGACCTTGAAATCTCCAAAAAATGTTTTCTTATCTTAATATCTACCTCTTTCAAATAAATAACGTTTTTTTCTCTAGAATTTTTTCCTGTCATCAAAAACAAGCGATAAATTTAAGATGACTAAGTTAGGTGGGATACCCTGCATATTATACAAGATGGTCAGTAATTTGTTGTACAAGTGGAGTAACTCTACATAGGAGAAAAAATCGAGAATAAAATTTTTTCATGTAAGGCTTTGCTTTCGAGAAAATCGACTTTAAATTTTCACGGAGTACACTTACGTAGACTACCGCTGTAGCCTACCGTCTCGGTTCACATTTGTATTTATTGCACTGGGTAATCAAGAATACACAATAAAACAGGATATTAACTTACAATAAGTGTTATTGTTACATTTGCATTCTGCCGAATGCACAATTGTGCTCTACGAACTGAATTTCTATGAACGCTTTCTAACGTGTTCTGCAGTTTGAATTTATTGAACGCGAGAGTGATTCCTTCCTTTAATTGGTCGAAACTTGTAATTCCTTCGGAATAGACAGCGGAATACATTAGGTCAAGTGCACGTGTATCCGGTGAAGTCGATTTTCTCGAAAGCAAAGCCTTATATGAAGGAATTGTATTCGACACGTTACCCTCTTTCCGGCTGTACCACCAGTTACCGACCACCCTGTATACTACAATAGATAATTCTTCGAAGAGATTTTACAAAGGCGCTCACCGCGTCGAAGTCAGAGATGACCTCGTTTAGAAACCTGAGACACTCGAGACCCTGGTTGTTGATGCTCTCCTCGCTGTAAAAATCGGCGAAGTTTGGCATGCTGGCGAACAAGACGCCCACTTCCGCGTAGCTTTGACTGTACAGGTCGTCGTGGTGCCTCGCCCTCGAAAGAAAATAGGCGGCCACGTGCGGAGGCAGGATATTGTAGATGAGGGCGCCGTTCCTCCTCTTCATGTCCGCCGCCCTTTCCCTCTGCGCCGCCACCTCCCTTCCCCTCAGGAACAGCATCCTCCGCGACTTCTCTGCCTGCAAATCGACCCAGTCGTCGAAAGCTTCGCCCCTTAATTTATTTATTTATTTAAAGGGGATACGATTTTATTCGTGCAACAAAAATTCGAGATACGATTTTCTTTTTGTGCAAAAAAATAAATACTGACATATTTCCAGTTATGCCACTGTCATTGCCAAAAGACAACGTATCACCTACACAGTAAAACTCCATTTGTATGAACTCCGTTTATACGGACTGATGTCGTCGTAATGCCCGATTTACCGACTATGTACCTTAATTAATATTATTCGACTCGAGACCAGGCGATGTAACACTTATACGAATTAATGTTTTTGCCTTGGTATTTGTAGCGACAACTCCTACGCTCTGCCACCAGAGGGACGGGACTAACCGCGCATTCTCGCTAGTCCTCATAAAGGCTCCCGTTTGTATATATAGAACTTCTGACCTGAGTCCTTCCCGTCCCCGCGCTGGTTCTAGGTTTCTTCAAAATTTTCCCCTAGTGCAACTCAAGAAGGCCAAGGCCGTGTGTCACCTCAAGACGGTAACACTACTCAGTATCAATACATCTGGTCATCCCTCATCCCACACAGAAAAAAAATGTCACCCCGTGGCTAAGGCACGGGTCGTCTCCTAGAAAGGTTTACTGACGAGTCCACTAGGAGACCCAGGACGAAACCCTCAATCCCTTCGTATTTATAAATTTCAGCTTACCGGATGAAAAGCAAAATCCAGTTATACGAAAACTAACTCCGATTACACGAATGAAGGAACAGCGATGGAAGGGAGAACTAGTGGACTCCTATTATGCGACTGATCCAGTTATCTGACACGTCTTGTCCCGTGAACGTGTCGGATATATGGAGTTTTACTGTACATAATTCAATGCTTGCTCTCTTCGTTTGTATCGTGTGTTAGATATCAAAGGGTTTTGTACTTGTGAGTAAGGTATTGTTATTATTATAAAAATTCATTGATTTCGTTACTCACGTATCTAGACACGATAAGGAGAGAGGTGGCCACGATAAGCAGCGTGACAGACAGGCCATATTTCGATGAAAGGGCGGACGGTTCGTGATGAGTGGAAGCGTAATCCTCCCAGTCGAGCCTTGGTCCAAGTACCCAGACATTGATAAAGCACTGAACACCCGCGAGGCAGTACATGAGGTACGCCTTGCCCAGGTAGCACAGGTAGGTTGGCATCGAGAACGCTATCAGCGTTAGGACACCGATGTACGAGTAATAGGAAGGATGGGGACACTTCGTGGAAAGGCCTAACGTCCCGTTCAGGGGCGGTATCACCTCTTCGATGAACACGCAGTTCAACTGTAAAAATTGGCGATTTGTGTCGTATACAGGGTGTTTCAATTGGAAAGTTCGATTGTTCTTCGATATTTTATTCTATTGGTATTATTGAAAGAAATTGTTGAAATGTAGAGGTTTCCTAGGGAAGGGAAAGAAATTCTGAACGTTTCTAGGGATAATTGAAAGAAGGAATCGATGAGAAAGCAACTGGAAAAATTTTCAACAAAATTCTGGGAAGTTTCAAGGATTTCCAGGGTGCTCTTTAAGAATTTCCAGCAAGTTCTAGGAATTCCTAGAAAATTCCCAGCAAGTCCTGGAGTTCCTGGAAAATTCCCAGGACGTTCTGGACTTACTGGGAAATTCACAGAAAGTTCTGGTGTTCCTAGAAAACCTCCAACAAGTTCTGGTAATTCCTGGATAGTTGCCAACAAGTTCTGGGAACTCCTAGAAAATTCCCAGCAAGTTCTGGAGTTCCTGGAAAACTCCCACCAAGTTCTACTAATTCCTTCAAAATTCCCAACTAGTTCTTGAGTTCCTGGAAAATTCCCAGAAAGTTCTGGTGTTCCTAGAAAACCTCCAACAAGTTCTGGGAATTTCTGGAAAGTTGCCAGCAAATTCTGAAGTTCCTGGAAAATTCCCAGAATGTTCTGGACTTACTGGGAAATTCCCAGAAAGTTCTGGTGTTCCTAGAAAACCTCCAGCAAGTTCTGGTAATTCCTGGATAGTTGCCAACAAGTTCTGGGAACTCCTAGAAAATTCCCAGCAAGTTCTGGAGTTCTTGGGAAACTCTCACCAAGTTCTAGAAATTCCTATAAAGTTCCCAGCAAATGTCAAGGAGTTTCTGGGAGCTCTCGATGAATTCTAATGTTCTATTCTTCTTATAGCAGGAAATTATTGAAGTACATTGATAAAATTTCGTTGAAAAATCCTGGGACACAGTGTACACCATGAAATAAATTAATTTTCACGTCCTATTGAGTTTAATTTGTAAAATAACTAAGCAGCAGAAGAGTTTACCATATCTAGGTGCTGGAAACCACCGAGGGAGAGGACCATCAAGAAGGCAAGAGCTCTCTTGAGCCACATTGCCTTAACAGCGCTACCCAAACAGGTGGCACCGGCCAAAACTATGGCGAACAGCACCACCACTCCAATACCGCCCCACGTGAAAGGTCCCCAGGGCTGAGCCTTCCAAACTGGGGCAGCGCAGACCACCACTAATGGTCCACCAAGCAACGATAGAGGGGAAAATGCTTCCTCGGCGTTGTTAAACGCGGTTTCTACCTTCTTGTCCTTGAAAATCAGCGTTATCCAATTCGCGTGACCCTTCAAGTCTGCTCCACCGCCTGTAATTCGTGTTAAAAGAAACTATTTTCACAAAAACAAGGAGAAATCGTGTTAAATAAATCGAATTTTCTGGAATATACATTTTAATTTTCAACTCCTACTTGTTATTGCGAATTGTGTTTGAGATAGAACGACGAAGATTTGATTCGTCCGCGATAGCCATTCCTTAATTCAACGCTAAAGTAAAGCGTAATCGAAAAGATACGATTTCAATACGATAGATATTTTCTGATTCATAAAATTGCTTTGAGTTCGTCAGAATTCTGTCAAATATTTTCAATTTTTTTCAAAATTTCAGTTACGAAATTCCATGTTACAAGGAGAAATTCGAGCTCGTCGAGGAGAAATTCGCTCACCTTTGCTGTCCAGTTCCTTCCTCAGCCTCTTCCTGAACTCCTCCGAGTCCTCTGTGCTGTTCTCCATCGTCTTCCTGGAGTTCTCCGCGTACGTGAGCGAGGCAAGACTCTTGGTTACAGCTGGCTTGAAGGGTTTCAACGCGCGTACTATGAAGTAAGTGACGATACCAGCCTTCAGAAGTGCCTCTTCTCTGTCCTCGCGGTGCGACGGTTCGACCTCAAACTCGCCGTTGAGGAAGCTCAGTGTCGTGTTCGAAATGTGCACTCTCCTTCAAATATCAATTCGTTCGTTCGGTCATTCGTTATTTTCGAATAATCTCTACAGGGTGAACAGAATAATTCGAGATTGATCAATGGTAAGTAGATTTTCAAAGGGGTAGCATGGTCATTATTCGCGGACGATACATGTGAAACATGACGAAATTGAACGCGATTCTGCATTCTTTTCAATACGTCCTGGCTGGAACTTGTACACGGTGACGGTATTGTTCTCGAGTGTCTTCTGACTCGCGTGAATAACGGTACACCTTGCTCGAGCTCGGTTGGAATAGTTGATAACGTGTCTTGAAGTTTTACGTATCGGATAAGACGCTTGGAATAATGTTGAGACGTTGTGAAAATTCCATCTTTATTTCCTTTCGAATCACTCGACCTTCCAAAAGTTCCACGTAAAAATCGTTTCGAATTTCATCTCAATCCTTCGTTCGTCTCCAATCAACAGTCGCTTCAAAGTCAGTTCGTTCCCTCGTTCGTTTCCATTTAACGGTGATTTGAAAATTATTTCTACCTTTGTGAAATTTACAGAGAGGAATACAATCATTCCCAGTCGTTCGTCGAATTATAGCAAAGTGTTTTTGCGGCAGTGCGTGCAGCGCAAAAACGGGCAAAACAAAACGATCGCGCGACAGGAGAGACCGCTAATCTTCCTGATTCATTAGCCCCATGGTATACAAAAAGGGACAATTAGAGAGCTGTTAAAGCATACGGGGCGGGTTCTTCTTTTTCGCCACCGGACTCGGGTATCTCACCCTTTAATGCAGCTGGCTAAAATTAAAGTACGACAGGGCATTAAAAACTGCTCGCCAGGTAATTAATGTCAAAGATATACACGCGGAGTGCGCTAATTACGTGTCCGCCGACGTCAAGGACGCGTTTTATATGTCGTCGCATCGATATCGTTTACCTCGAGATCTCACGGATTCCTCTCGCCTCTACGCTCTCTGTTTTTCTTCTTTTTTTTTTTTCAATTTCAATATTTTCGCAAGTAGATAATTACAGAATCGTCCTCTGAACCGTTTCCCTTTCACAGGAGAAATTGCGACTATTTTATATTTAAACAACCTTTTTTTCTCTCTTTTGAATAGAAGATAAATGTCAGAACGCTTCCTGTTTTGACTGAACAGTCTTACCCTTTTTAAGTAGCAGTTGGATAAACTGCATTCGACTTTAATCGAAAAGATAAACATTGGAGTTCCTTGGTCTGACGGATGGAGAATTAGTTAAAACTAACGAAGAATATAATGTAAAGTTGTTAAACACGTACTAGTGACGCTAATAATAAGAATATATATACCCTTTCAGTTCCATCTACCAATTGTTCATTTTTCAGGGGGTTTTAAGATATTTGGAGCTCCACGTATTTTTCACCCTTCAAGAAAAGTTAGAATCTCTTTTATACGGCTGTAGAAGCAATCTAATTTATTTATTCAAACAGAGAACGACAAAAAACAATGTTTAAAAACCTCATTTATAAAGATCCTCAAGAGTGTTAGTCAGCTTGAAGCTAAATTACGAGTGTAAATGTTTGAAGCTACGAATTGCAATATGAGTACGTATCTCTTCGCGTTAATATGGATTGTTTTCGTAGGGTGTAATACAATATACAGTGACTTCCATTAATATTCGGACACTCTTTAGAACAGTATCACTGTTTTAAAATTGGACCTGACGACTTGAATTATTTTGAGAAGTTAGGATTAGCATACTACATGACGTGTGCAAAAAATTTAGAAAAAATTGCAATTTGTGGGAATCGCTAAGAAAATTGTAAAGGTCACTGTTTACAACTCTACATACATTACCGGCCAAAAGTTTGGGATCTCCTGCCAATTTACATTAACATTGGATCTGCTGCTAATTCTTTACTGATTTGAAATTGATGTTGTGGAGATGAATAGCACTTTACCTCATTTCGATTCATTTGAATGATAAAAAATTCGTTAAAAAATCATCATAAATGCTACCATTTTTTGGGGGAATTTTTGTGCAACTTGCAATGCACAGTGATTCCAAACATTTGGCCGGTATTATAGATCTACAAAACGTGTGTTTTAAAATTTCATTGCGAACTCAGGTAAAAGAGTTGTAAACAGTGACCTTTACACTTTCCAAATATTTCCAAATTTTCTGCACACGTCATCTAGTACACTAATCCTTTTAACTTCTCAAAAAAAGAAAACTCAGGTCGTTAGGTCCAATTTTGAAAAAGTTATACTGTTCTAAAGAGAACAAAGTGTTCATACAAAAGAGTTGAAAAGAAACGATTTCCTCACCCCGCCATTCCACTGCTCTCCATCTTATTCGCCAGCTCGACGTCCTTGCTGTAAACATCGAATTGCCACTGTCTTTGGCCTAGGACACCGGCTAGAACAGCACCAGTGTGTATTCCCACCCTCATGTCGACAGGGCTGTTGGTCGTTTGTTGCACGTACTTGATCGCCTCCACCATGGACAGGCCCATGTACACGCAGAGGACGGCGTGGTCTGGCCTTTCCACCGGTGCTCCACTGATACAGTAGTAGCAGTCGCCTAGGATCTTGATCCGCAGCTGTTCGTACCTAAACATTTTTTTGGAAGAATACACGGTCGAATCGTGGGAACTAGGGCTATTACTTTTAACCGGGTATCTGAGATACCCGGGTATTCGAGTACCCGTGAGATGGCCCGGGTATCTCACGAGTACTCGAATGTGTACATAAAACAGTCGAAATCTCGGTGGCCACTACCGCTGGTGGTTCCCCGGACAAACAAATGAGGATCGGTTGCGATAGCTGACGTGCCAAAGTGCACCTGTACCCTACACAATATTGTTTCTGAACCTCTGCTGAAGCAGTCGAGGAATAATAGGTATCTACTCTCAGCTGTCTCATCTCATGAGATACCCGGATAATTTCTATTTACCCGGGTACTTTATGATTACCCGGGTACCCGGGTATCTCTCAAGTAGCAGCTCTAGCGGTAACTAATACGCGAAAGTAAAAGATTTTTTAGAAAGCTCAAAATATTTTTCACCACGTCACGTTCAGTGGAGTAAAATATCATAAGTCTGACCATATTTCTGTTTTCCTTGTTCAGAGTTTATTTCATGTGACGAATACTTTTTCCACCGCAAATATTGGAATTTTTGGGGAAAATACACGTTCCTGAAATTAAATAAATAAATTGGATTATTCAATAGTGGAGGAATAATGAGAATTTTTAATTCTTATTCGCTAGTATGTTTTGCTTTTTATTCGTACACTGAATAGAGAAATTTTCTTTTCCTTCTATTTAACATTAGAACATGCCGATAATAAATATACTCCTATTTTTAGCAAAGCATTTACATTGATAGTATTTAAAAAATGCTCAAGGAGAGTAGAAAAAGGATAGAGAAAGTTTCTTCGCTCTTTTTCCGAAAAAAAAAAGAAGTGTTAAGCTGTTTTCTTTAAACGATAAAATTGTAAGGATTTCTTCTCGATAGAATGCTGCGTTGGAATTGAAATAATTTGATCGAAGAGTTATCAGCGAGGGGGCACCCGTGACCCACCCAGTATATCGATCAAGCCGCCGGGAATTTGTGATTGAAGCGTTCGCATGGAAATGGGGTTGAGTGGCGGGGATTTCGTTTTAGAAAGGTGAGGGAGGAGGATTTAATTTTTCACTTGGTCCCAGGCTGCCGCCATTTGGCAAATGGGAGGAAAGCACATGTCAAGGAGCATCTTAAGTGGAGGGTGAATTTATACGTTGACCCATACTACTAGCACCGCGTACACTCACGTGTATACAGATTTGGTATAATCACCTCCTCGAGAATTCTTCAAATTGCTTCTCCAATTATTCCAATTCACTCTCTTTCTTCGTTCCCCATTTTTCTCCAATGCTTCAAACTTCGTGCAATACTTCGTAAGAGGAAAAGGAAAAAGGGGGAAACGGAAAAGAAAATTCACAAGATGTACCGAAATTTCAGTCTCAATTCACAGAATTACCACTTTCATTCGCAAGATAATCTTTCGTCGAATATTTGCCGATTTTCTCGCGGTACAATTAGAGTTGGTACAAAGAGTATCGCCAACGATACCACTTTGTCCTCGAAACGTATCGACTACCGGGGAAGACACTTCGCGATGGATTTTCTCTTTCTCGAAAGACAACGCGAGATCGAGAAAGGACTGGACGAAATTCCTCGATAAAGTCAATTTCGCGGCTGGCAATTTCAGGATTTTCATTATCCTCCGTGTACGAAGGATTGTGGAGGAGGGGCGGACGGAAGGATCCGTGAAAGCGTTTCGAGTTCGTTCTCTATCCGGGTCACAGTCGAGTGGACGGTAAACGAACGAATTCTTTCGCGGTGCCGATAGCTTCGTTGTCGATTAATCCGTTTGTTCCTAGCACCGTTTATCGACAACCCGTCCCGATTCGAGGCGTGTATCGTTGACAAAAGCAAACGTGGTTTGACTCCCTCGCTCTCTCTCTCTCCCTTTCTCTCTTTCATTTGTTCGAACGGGAGAGCCGAGCTGTGGGTGACTTTGAAGTAAAGGTGCTGCTAACGATAATGTTATCGATAATTCGATATATCGATAATATCGTCAACGATATCGATAGGTTGAATTCAACTTAAAGTTTTATTGTAAAAGGTACAGAACGTGATACATAGAGTAAATTCGAACTTGGTCCTTTTTCTCCTCTGACAATGAGAACACGTTTAATTAAATGAACGAATTCAATGATCCCGGAAATTATCCTAATGTGCAGCTGAGTAATAATACTTTAACAACGGACGATGATGTAAACAGTGATAGCAATCCTGTGACTTGAAAAGCTAAATATTTTGAAAAAGGACATTCTTTCAAGTCATTCGTTTAAGTGATATATTAAAAATTACAAATTTTTTTCTAATAATCTTTATGCAAATTTATGTAAATCCTTGAAAGCTGCAAGTTGACCATTTTATTAGCATTTATTAACATTTTTATAATTTTTCAGGACTTAAAAATTCAACGATTTATTGTATATATTCTCTGACTAGACAAATCATGAGTTTCTTCCTTTCCTAAATTATGAAAATAGTTAAATTAATAGTGTTATTTGAATCTAAAAAATGTATCCCAAAAAGAAGGTAAGACAGAGAATTCCTTAAGGATTAAAGGCGGTGAAAGTGAATCTGGAGAAAAATTATTATCAGCACTTTTATAAGTCGTGCTCCTCTACAGACTATTTATCGAAACATCAAATACTCTTCAAGGCTTAAAAATTACACTAACCAAACAAATCGTGAATGTCTTTCTTTCCTACGTTATGAAAACAATTAAATGAACGGTGTCGTTTAAATCTAAGAGATTTTGTTATCTACTCTTAAGGATTGGAGGCAGTGAAAGTGAATCTAGAAAGAAAAATTCCTTAGGAGAAATTTTTAACACATTTGTCCGAACAATTAACTTAAATTATTGTATGAATTTCCGACTACCTTTCGCTGAGTTGATCGAATCTGGCGAACAGCTCGTTCAGAATCCTCACCAGTTCACTGGCACTGTACGTTGAGGAAATAGCAGTGAATCCAACGATGTCAGCGTACAGGATGGAGACATTCTCGTGCCTGGACATGTAGATCTTCTTGAATTGTGTGTCCAACGAAGCTCCAAGGTCCTGTCTCATCATCACGGCCACGTGTTTCGGAAGTACGCTGAGTAACAGCCTTTCCTGCTCTGCACTTTGCTCCTCGATCACTAACTGAACTTCCAGGCTTTGTCTGGTCTCCAGGAATGCTCGACGTTGCTGGAATTCTGTGAGGAAGTAGCTGCAGATACCCAGAAGCGTGGCGCACAAGGAAAGGTTCACTGCCAGTACCTGCAAGAGACTTTTCGTGAGGATTGGAAACAGCGAAAGTACAAGTGTGGACAAAAATTTCGTTGAAAAAATTCGTAAAAATTATTTATTTCAACTTTGATGCAGCACCAATGCACTTGACCCTTTGCACTCGAAGGTCCTTTTTTTAAATTAATATTTTTATTAGAAGTTGGTTTTCTAAGCATGTAGTGAACAATTCACGGAGGTCCATAGGCCTGCTGTCTTGGAAAATATCCTTAGAGTTGCCTCCAATGATAAATATAATGTCTCCTCTCGAGTGCAAAGAGTTAATCCAGATTCGCTTTCATTGCACAAAACTGTCCTAGCTTTTCCCTCGAAATGCTTCTCAGCACCCTCCTCATTTCTCGTTTTATAGCTTTAAACCCCAAAATGCTCCACTTGCGTGATATTTTTCACTTTTGGGAACTGCAAGGAATCTCATGGGGAGAGATCAGGAGAATAGGGAATATTATCGTTTGGTGATAATTCTTTAATCGTTTAAAAGATGCCCACTGAAACTGCCACTGCAGGCAAACCACATGTCAAATGATCGTGACCCAAAAGAAGTAATTGCCGATATAAGGAAACAAAAGACATTCTATGAACTCTTTGTCCAAACCTCGTGTATCTAAAAATAAAAATTTGCTTCTGCAGAAAATTTTTTGGTGTTTTTAGAATTTTTAACATTTTTGTCTTTTACGAATGTAGGATGGATATCATATAAAAACTAATTGCGTGTGAGCAATTGTAAGAAGAATTTTCTGTATTTAGAAATTTGAAGACTTGAGAAATTTTCATCTTTTACAGACTTGAGAAGTTTCGGCAGTTTTTTCCGAAGAACGTAAGAAGTCTGGAATTTAAACAATTTTGAGACATTTGAATTTCTTTTTAAACGAAGACGGAATTTTACCTTTCTATATCTAATGAATTTCTCGCGAATTCCAGCCGACATGTTAATACGATGCAATTATCATAGAAAAGTAAACCACAAGTTTGGCTCTTCTGAGAATTCAGCGACGTTCTCGCGGTGTTCAGAAACGACGGAATAGGTGGAAATATTTGACGCGTTAATTGTCCAGGTGCGTTGGAATTGGACGTGGCGGTTGGCCTGGAATCCGTGAAAAGCGGTCTGGATTGGACGGTGAATTGGAGTGAAATGGACGAAATTGAAAATTTTCAGGGTTTTAACACTTGGCTCTGTTCCTTTTTTCTCTCCTTCATTTTATTGCACCTCTTATAGGATTCTTTTGTAGAAGTTACTGTCGAAAGAATTTTGCGAAATTCCATTACAAGGAAGAACGAATTGCAAATGTGAATCGGAAAATCTGCAAATTGTAATTCACTCGTTTCTTTAATGCATGATTTAATTTAGTGTGCTTTCTAGAGAAACTACTTGCCGAAGTAGTAAAATGAAAAATTTCAATTTTGAAAACTTTCAGTTGAAAAAAGAATAAGGAACCTTTGGAAATCCTTTTTTAAAATATAATATGTCTCCTAAAAAAATGTTTTAAGAAGTTACTGTCAGAAGATTAAAAGCGACCAAATTGTGAATGTGACTGAATTAACTAGGGTAATAGCTTGCAAAAGTAGTGAAATGAAGAATTATAAAATTGACAATTGTTATTTAAAAAGAGAAGAAGGAACTTAAAATTTTCAGTTGGGAGAAAAGCTTGAGACAACCTTTGGAAATTCTGTTTTACTGATTTATAGACTATAAAACTGAAAGCAACGAATTCTTTTCTACACCTACAGCCCCTGGCCAAAAAATTAAGGTCACTCACAATTTTCAACATCTTTCGTATTTTTAGTAAAATTTAAAGGCTTGAACGTAATTTAATAACAATTTTTATTAACTACTGAAATACACACATACATATTAATAATTTGTGTTTCCCCCCTTTGCTTTAATTACAGCATGTATCCTTTCCAGCATACTTTGTATGCATTGTTTTATCGTGTCTTGTAGTTTTGAACGATTTTGCGAAAGATCCAGAATTTCTTTCTTTAAATCAGCTAATGTGGTGACTGGTGATGGTTAAATGAAACTGAGAAAAACTGAAAAGTTGATGTGTGTTAACTATCGGGAGAGTTTGCTGGTCATGGGAATTTTCTTTAACGAGAGTAATTCTTATTAAAGAAATTCTGACTCCCATCCTGCATATGAGCCGTTTATTTTGGTAATGGTGCTAGTTCATTCTTAAAAAATCGAGATTATGCATGAATTGCACGTAAAACATGATGTTAAGTCTTACCATGAAATGTCATAGACCAAAACATTTAAAAAACGTAAAATTATCACCTCTGTACAAAACTTCTATACCCGTAACCTCAGCTAAATATAAAGATACCAGTGATTTATTGCCTTACATTCCACCTGTGCACCACAATTATTTCAAAAACCTTTCTCACGTTGTCAACGAAGACGTTTTAAATTAATAAATTAAAAACCATGAATATTTCTTTTATTTTTAATTTTGCTTGGCATAACGTGAGTAAAAGATTCGGATTTTTGAAAATGTAATACAGTTTTTTGGAGAAACCTTGAATTCTAAGCAATTAAATATGATTTAAGTGACATTATTGAAAATTTGATAATTTTGATAGCAGTGTAGGTCCATTTGTGGTCACAAAGTCCCAATTTTTCTTCAAGCAATTCCGATGTATTTGATATACCTCAAAAGTTTCAATATTTGTCAGCACAAAAAACATAAAGTGAGACTACCAGTGATCGTTAATATTTTTGGGTCGATTGAACCCTTACGTATCTCGATATTTAGGAAAATGGACTTACACCACTATCAAAGTAAACGACTCATATACATACGTGTGCCGGGATCTCTGTCCACACACAGATACGTGATTATTCCTTCCGTATACTGTCAAAGCACGAAAGATGGCGAAAATTGTGAGTGGTCCTAATTTTTTCGCCAGGGAGTGTACCGATACACGTGTACACATTCTTTTAATTTTTGTCGCTGGTCTACACGGGGGAAAATCGCGGCACGCTCGATGGCGTCCCATTCAGCGAGCACGGCTTTTGTTGGAATCGTTTGTCCCAGGAGACAATGGGACGGATCGTAATTGAATCTTCCACGGCGGAGAAATTAGCGCGAGGGACGCTTTTGTCGTGCGAGCAGCCGCTCGATTAAAATATTAGCCTCCGTTGAATTGGCCTGCTCGCTCGAAGAATCAGCTAATCCGCTGTTCCTTCCACTGTCGCGATGTTTACCATGCTGTCCCTCTTGTTTGCTGTTCTCCTTGCTTTCAGACTGTTCTCTGCCTCTGATGCGCCATTCGTGGATACTCTCTAGCAAAACCCTTCTATGGAATTTGTTAATCTACCTGTGTCAAGTTAATTTTGGGTCAATCTGGTCCAATAATAAACGTAAAAATAACACACAGTTTATTGAACTATTTTAGTTGAATATTTTAGTGAATTTTCGTTAATTTTTATTTTTCTAAACTTATCGCAATTAATATTTTAGTCAATTTTGTAAATTTATTGTAATTGATATTTTACTCAATTTTTATCCATGTGAGCGAAGTGTTAGTGATTTATTTTAGTACATTTTGTACCTGATTCCTAATTAGTAACCCTGATTTCCTTAATGCTTCTAATTAAGCTTTTATTAACTATTTCTAACCAGTATAAAACACCTTATGCTTCGCCTCCTCGAAAAATGAAAATATTCGTCCCGTTCGAAATTAATTAAAACATTTCAACGTTGACCGCACAAAAAATTGAGATACTAATTTGTTCATCATTTTAGACAATAGCGTGATACATTTCATTCATATAAAAAATTAACCATCCTCATAAAACTTGGAAATATTAATTCTCCCACGTCTCTCCGTCAATTTACACAGTAATAGTCATACATTTTCCAATATTAACCATTTCCATCGCATTTATACAAAATACTCGAATATTAATTTCCCTCGAAAAATCGAAATATTAATTGCGCCATCGTTTTATACAATAACGTAATTCATTTATACTTATTAACCAATTCTATCACCTTCATCCTCGTAAAACTTGGAAATATTAATTCTCTCCGTCAATTTACGCAATGATAGTCATAAATTTTCCAACATTAACCATTTCTACCGCATTCACACAAAATACCTGATTTTCAACGAAAAATCGAAATATCAATTTCCAACGAAAAATGTAAATATGAGTTTTTCCATCGATTCACGCGATAATAGCGGTCTCCTAAGGAAAGGGTTGACGGACCCTTAATTAACTCCCATTAGAGGGTTCGTTGAGCAACGACCGGCCATTATTGCAATTATCGCTGGAACCGATGCACTCTGTGCTTTCCGTGATCGAGTCGATGGATTTCAAAGAAACGTTCCTGCCATTGAAAACCGATCGTATGTCGTGCATGGAAAGGCGGCATGTCGCGTCATTGCACATCTCTCTGTCTCTAGCTATCTCTCTCTCTCTCTGTCTCTTTGCTTCTCTCTATTTTAAACAACCATTGACCGAACTCTACTCGAGTGTCACTAACGATAGAACCACGTGCACACCTGGAACTTTCGCTTTCGTGATCGTTCTTGTCTAGGAAAATTCGTAACGTAGTTTCCGGTACCGTCACGGTTGACCACGAAATCATAGGCCAGATCACTTGGGACTCGACTACCGTGTGGCTCGGCTAAATGGGATCACTTGAATGTCTGCCTTATTTGTGGTTGTATGAAAAAACTTCTCGGGACAAAGATACACTATTTCAGGGGGCACATGTAATCATGGAAACGGTTTTTCCTCCAGGTCCTTATTTTACGAGATTTTAAGGTCATCGTTATTCTTTTAAATGGAACCCCATACTTTTTCTCAATATGCTTGTAGAAAGTGTAAAAGCAAATTCAAAGACCTTAATGACCGTACCATTCCCTTCGTCCAGTTTCCAGATATTTGCATCTGAAGGTAATTGAAATTTCCTGAGGATCCACGCGATACACTGATTCGCACATTGGTGTCCAATCGTATGTCTTAC